ATGCGTCTTGACGAGCTGAACACAATGAGACCATCCACGCGTCTGTATCTTGTTCCTGTACGGAGTTATTGGCCAAAAACCTTTGGTGACCTTTGATGACGTCACATGACCTCACAGCTGCCCAACAGCAAAACAGACCTCAAGGTAGTGAAGGTTGATCGTATATGAAGTCATGTATGGTATATGGGGCCATTCCGACCCGTTTTAGTGGTAAAAACAGGGAGTTGATTTTTCCCCCATTGACTTATAATGGGAGGTCGCGAAACTGACCTGACCTTAGGTCACCGATATCAAATTCCGAGATATACAAGTGCACATACTGGTACCCTAACTAAAGCCTGAAGAGAAGAAATTGATCGGTCAAAACTCTAGCTCTGGCGTGATTGCAAACTTTTCTGAGGTAGGGTCACCAAACCGCCTCTGGTGACCTGACCTGAGGTCAGATCAACTCAAAATTTTCAGACATGTTGCGTAGAAGCCTTTTAGGAAAAGTCAGAAAATTTGAGCTTCCTAGCTCAACGCGTTTGGGAGAAATAACCAAAAAACCTCAGGGGGGCTCCTGAAGCCCCCCCCCCCCCGCCAGGAATAGGGTTAAAGGGGCAAATTTTTGTGTGCACTGGTTCTTCCTATATTTCTGCTTCTTCAAGAAAAAAAAATGAATAAAGGTATGTGGGAAGGCCTGTCGTATGAAAACACACCGGGTTCTGTGCCTACGTAACAGCAACAAAAACAGTTTATTGGCGAACGGAACAACGGGGCTGTCCGGAACAGCGGAATTGTTTATTTTACTAATTATCAGTAAGTTTTCCTCCACAGAACATAGTCTGTTTAGTCATAGAAGACAATACTTGAACACCAGCTATTTCTTTATTGAATGGGAGCTTTCGAAAGCTATGCAGCTTTCTTCGTCAGCCTTCTTCTTCGTCAGCTTTCTTCGTCAGCCGTCAGCCTTTTTCATGGATCTGTTTTAGTGTTTTTTACCAAGGCTGACGAAGAAAGCTGCATAGCTTTCGAAAGCTCCCATTCAATAAAGAATGGCTGGTGTTCAATTATTGTCTTCCATAACTATGCAACCGTTCCAGCTAAATAACAATTTTTAGAAGGACATACTCTGACTAATGAACTTGGCAGTTGGTCTATGTTGCTTTTCTTGACATGCTATTCATTCATACCTACACTTGCATTGCCGTCTCGTCTGCACCAAAGTCCTCATGCACGCTTTGTTGCTTTCCTGCTCTCCCTTTGTTGTTGTTGCTGTTGTTGTTTTTATTCAGACTCTCCAACGGGTTCGGTATGTCCCATTTACAGGAGAGTTCCTGCTCCTCCAACATCAACGTGTTGTAGTTGTTGTAGTTGTAGTTGTTGTAGTTGTTGTTGTTGTTGTTGTTGTTGCTGTTTTGCTCACAGCTCTCGGCCTGCCGCAGATTGTCGGCTGTGTTGTGTTGTTGTTGTTGTTGTTGTTGTTGTTGTTGTTTTGCTCACACATCTCTCGGCCCGCCGTAGATTGCCGGATGTTGTTATTGCTGCTGTTGTTGTTGTAGTTGTTGTTGTTGTTGTTGTAGTAATAGTAGTAGTAGTAGCAGCAGTAGTAGTAGTAGTAGTAGTAGTATAGTAGTAGTAGTAGTAGTAGTAGTAGTAGTAGTAGTAGTAGTAGTAGTAGTGTAGTTGTTGTTGTTGTTGTGTGTTGTTGTTGTTGTTGTTGTTTTGCTCACAGCTCTCGGCCTGCCGCAGATTGCCGGCTGCGCGACTGAAGGACGGGGACGGGATACCGGCCGCTGTTGTACAGTGGCTCTGCCGGATCCGTGCCGGTCCCTCTGTGAGGGCCGCGCCCTGGGGGACGACTGTCGCCGGGCCGCCCTGTACCTCCTGCGCTGCGCCACCTGGCAGGGCGTCAGGCGACCCCCGGCCGTCACGGGGACACACGTCACCAATGTGACGGATGATTCGGTGACACTGGTGTGGCAGCGGCAGAACAGCACCGACCAGTACCAGGTGAGGTGGGGGCGAGATCTGACAATTACAGATCACGGGATACAGACATCAAACCAAACACCGACCAAGAGCTTAGGACATCATATACCAAACATCGATACAGTATAGGAATTAGGAGATATAGGGGAGAGTGGGGCAATGGCGACACCATAAGCATTTTGCTCAATAGCTCAGCTATTTGAAGCTATTTTATGGTGATTTTGACTGTGGTTATAGCCAAAGGAATAGGCTTTCAGATAACACCCAGTTTTAGTATCTCAGATCACTGATGACAGATTCCGAGCCTACGCGAAAATGTGGTGAAAAATGGAGGTGCAAAAAAGCGAGGGGTAATGCCGGCCACTAAGTGCAATAGCACAAAAAGTCGAAATATCGTCACTGGTATTCATCCTTAAACCGTTCTTTCGATGGAAATCTAAGTGAGAATTAAGAAACGACAACTGTATTCAGCAGTTAACAGTGCACTGCACTGCAACACAACACTGCACTCGCTGCAACACAACAGCGCGGCGCCAACAGAGCAGCAAACTAACACAACCGTAAACAGCAAGCAAACTAACACAGCCGTAAACACAGCAACCCGAAACGTTGAGCTTTAACGACAGAAGTCGCAAACAAAACCGCGTGGAGTCATTCCGGACACGTGTCCGGTATTACCCCGAGGTCAGCTTTATTTTAAGAAAGCAGGCAGCAGTCAAAGGCATTGCGTCGCAAACGCTTCACATCCAGCAGTCACCTAAGAAATGCTTAATTGAAGGTCATTGCAAAGCAGCACTTCTGAAAATGCGTTAACACATTTCACAGTCAGCAAATAGATGCAACAAAAATTAAAAATCAGATACGAAAAACACATTTAACGCTATAAAAATGAAAATAATGGAACTACCGTGACAAACTTGCACCACGTGCTAGAATGGCGCTCAACTGAAATGTAAACAACATCAGCTGATTAGTGATGGACAAAGTACTCACTAGAGATGGGTGGCCGGCATTACCCACCGTCCGCCATTGCCCCGCTCTCCCCTACATACCTAGTTTCCAAATTAAGAGCATTTAATGCATTTAATTTGTTTTCAGAAAGCTGGTAGGATATAAAAACATCAGATTTGAAATACGAAATACCAAGTCGATAAGCTTCGGTTTCATACTGGTAGGTATAATGAAACGTTGGTATTCCTTTGGCATTTCTAACGTGAGCAGAGCCCATGTGTTGTTGTGATAGTTACTGCACAAGGAGACTCATGTCTGACGCAAAAATGGGGTTCAATGAACATCGGCTGTGTAACGTGGGCTGCTCCGTGCCGACAGGTCTTCTACGGAAAACTGAACTCGACTGAAGCTGTCTTCCACTGGCAAAACCGACTTGACCAGGTAAAATTGGTAGTCATATGGGTACGACCACTGGCGGACCCAACCGAGGCTGAGAGGCGGCCAACAACCAGAATTGATAGCCAAGTGTACGTTTCTTTTTGTGCACGCCTTGCAAAAGGTATGTGTAATGATACTAGTAATTTGATCTTGAACGGTGTAGGTATTCTGAGTCTGACCTCCTTGTTGCCGATATTAATTAAAATTAAATTTATGCTGAAGTAATTACGGAGCGAGCGAAGCGAGCGTAGTCTTTCCTTAGATTAACGGAAATTTCTGAGTATGAGCGGCCGGCCGTGGTCACGCTTTTGCGAGGCTTATATCTCAGCAACCACTTGACCGATTTACACGCGGTAATTTTTGTAGGGTAGCTTCATTCCTTCTACCAAGTATTGGACTATTCCCGATGCATGTGGGTGACCCCTTATGCACGTGCCACGTGCAAAACGAAGAGGTGTCAGTTTTGTAATTGTTGCAATATCTCGGTAACTACTTGGCCGATTGCGCTGAAAGTTGGCATGTAGGTAGGCACTCACTAGGCACTGCATATACATGTGCCAGAGTTGGGGTGCTGGCACGTGCGCACGTGCAGGGGTCGTTTCCAGATCTCGAGAACGGCTGGACCGATTGCGCTCAAATTTGGTACACGGTTAGGGACCGGTTAGTAGGGTGCCGTGCACAAGTCAGTTGGGACCCATCTTGCACGTGCGCACGTGCAGGGTGCCGCTTCCAGATCTCGAGAACGGCTGGGCCGATTGTGCCCAAATTTGGCACATCGCTAGAGACCAGTTAGTAGGGTGCCGTGCACAAGTCAGTTGGAGGTACCCCCTCGCAATTTCGCACGTGCAAGGCCCACCCTCTCGCTCGCTCCGTTAGTCGCCCCAAAAGGCGTTATACTGGTGGGTGAGGTGTAATAAGCAATAAGGGAAAAGGGTAAACACAATAATGTGATAGTCATCATTCCGTGCTTCTATCCTCAGGATACTGAAATCCTTCTCCTCTACGCCGCAACCCCCTTCCGGGCTGGACAGGCAACTTTATCTCATGCGGGCTGCTCCCTTGGAGCGGCACCGCTGCTCCCGAGGGAGCGCACCCCGTAGCCGGGTGCAGTGAGTGCCTTGGGGCTGGGTGGCCTGTCCTCTGGACGGGCTCAGCCCCGGCGACCCACTAGGGTGCCTGCCCAGACCAATGTCTCCCCCTATATCCTATCATCCTCCCGGCTCTGAAATGGTCTTAATGAACCGAAAGGGCCTAACCCAACAAGACAAACAAAACAAAATGTGATAGGCTGATAGCATGTCAGAGTAAGTGAGAACTGTAAGCCTAACACTTTTCTCTCTTGTCTTCCTTTTTAGTATTTTACGCTCAAACTTCTACCGTGTTGAACATACTAACGGTATAACGGTTGGCTCATGTACTGCCTCTCAGGTGAATCCAATGACGTCATTTCAGGTGATGGACGTCACTGGCACAACGCAGGCCCAAGTGGCGGTGGCTAGAGACGCCCTGTACGGGTTCTCTGTGTCCTATGTGGACGCAAATGGAACGCGGGCGCACTGGGGGTCGACCCTGCTGGTCAACGGGTCAGGTCAGCCGGGAATAAGGCGCAGATTATCAGCCCAACCATAGTGTGAGACCCCAGGCCGTTTGGATCAGAGTTGGTGTCTACGGTGTTTATTCATTCTTTGTATTTGGGTTACAAGGGCAGTTGCCGCTGCTGCTCAGCGCTAATTCCATTTGTAATGCCTATTGAACTGCTAATGAATGGTGATAACTGCTCAACCCCATGCCACCCATTTTCCCGCCTAAGCTCCGTGTGATTTTCGTGTGTTGGCGTTGTGACCAGCAGCTGGGTCTGGGCTCCCCAAGCTGTCGCCTCCCCACGGAGTGACAATCAGAGGAGTATCAGAACATGGCCTGGACGTCACCTGGGAACCGCCAGCTGATACGACCGGAGGCGTGAGTGTACGCTACAGGTCAGTCCAGAGGTCACACGGCCGCATTTCGGAGCGGTAAGGGTATGACGATAAAAGAAAGTTACGAAGGCAGCCTGAATATGTTTTCTCGTGTTTTCTGTTCATTTTAAGTCGTGGTCTTGTTGTTTTTTTTATAAATTTAGTTCGAATGTTTGAATGGACGGATTGACAGAGCCGAGGCCCACGCTGAGCAGAGCTTGTTACGTAGACCGCGACTCCTACCGCCCGATCGCGCAATTCCGGGTAACGGGAGAATTTAGATGCCAAAATTTAACGTGCCCTTCAAAGCCGGACATCGCCTGTCCCACTCAACCTCAACTGGCTGCGGATGCTCCCACTAACCGCAGACCATCCCCGTCAGGAGTCTCAAATATCGAGCGCCGGAGCGACTCGAACCCGGGCTCTCACTACCGGGAGTCCGGTGCTCTACCAACTGAGCTACGGGACAGAATTGTTCATGCCCTATTCATTATAGTTATAATGCTAGGGTATAGTACAAATGCGGGATAAGATGCGTCGTGCTCGATTTTTTTTCATGTAAGTACGTTTGTAGATATGTCATATTCTTTGGTCTGAATGCTTGATCAAGTGATGCTCACGTTGTTTCTCTGAAGGCTCTATTATCAGGCTGAGGGTGAGCCAGCACCAAGAGTTGTGCACTTGACGGATACGAGCCACAACCTCACGGGACTGGACGGTGGCACGGTGTACAGGTAAGTAGACAGGGAGAGTGTGTGAGAGAGAGAGAGGAGGAGAGAGAGAGGAGAGAGAGAGAGAGAGAGAGAGAGAGAGAGAGAGAGAGAGAGAGAGAGAGATAGAGAAATGTTAGGGTTACTTGGATGTGGATTTTGAGTCACTGAGATGAGTGTGAGATGTCAGATGAGTCTATGTGGGTGTGAGACGTTTAGTGTGAGCCGTGTAATCAGAGTTAGTCATTATTGCCACAACCATAACAATGATGATGACGATGATGATGATGATGATGATGATGATGATGATGATGATGATGATGATGATGATGATGATGATGATGATGATGATGATGATGATGATGATGATGATGATGATGATGATGATGATGATGATGATGATGACCTCCTCAGTGTGTGGTAACAGCCGTGTCGGACGACGGAGCAGAGGGCGCTCCATCAGAAACGGTGGAGGAACGGACCAGGAACCCTCCGGAGATAGCACCGACTCTCCAGGTCAGGTGGCAGGGTCACACCAAACATCAGCTGTTCATGCTTTACACCGGTGTCACATAGAGCACCAACTGTTCATTATAGTACCGGTGCATCAGTGATCAGACTCAGGCACCAGTTGAAACGTTAACCCGCGCCCCAAAGGGGGGGGGCATTTAGCCCCCTAAGATCTCGAGAACCACGCAAAGAAGCGACAAGCAACAAACAATGTTGGATAGCCCCAACGGGGAACTACCTTGTGACCCAATTTCATTGACCTCAAACCGATGATGTCACAGGTCAGGTCAAATGTCGAATTTTCACTGTTTACAGGTATTTCAAGAAATGTGTTGTAAAATCGAGTAAAATGCATATTATTGAAAATACTCCATGGGAAATTGTTCGTCAAACACATATTTGCTTTTAAGGTCACCGATACCAGTTCAGGTCACAGAGGTCAGGTCACTGAGGGTCATAATATGAAAATATCATGTAATTCATGTTTTATGGTCCATTTTACGTGACAAATGCGATTATGTGGGTCAGGCAGCTTTTTGGGGCAAGTTAAGGTTATGTTGTGGTGAAGGTCACTGGTCAGGTCAAGGTCAGGTCAAATTAGGTCAAATTTCAAACTTGATATTTTGCATAACATGGGTATCTATTCGATGCAACTCGTCACGGGGAGTCTGATGGTGGTCTTTGTTTTGCGCTACGTGGTCTAGAATTGCCTAAAATTGAGTTGGAAAATTTGACGTCATTTATTTTGAACAGTTTTTTCGCTATAACTTGGCCAAAGAAATAGGTATCGATCTAAAATTTGGTATATAGATAAAAGACGGCAGGTGCTTTATACCAATTTCGTTTTTTTGTGTTAAACTCGAAAACGTTTGGGATTGTAGGTATTGCTTTTATCAACGACATCAATTTTTCACTGGGGGGGGGGTCGAAATCACAAAAAAATGAAAATCCGAGAGGACAGTTTTGTAACACCGTCTTTGCTCTACACGACTAGATAAAGAACTTTAAAATTGTTCGTTAACTGTAGCTTGTGTGAGCGTTTCAAGATTTTATGTTTTTTGCTCATTTTGCTCGAACATAACCGCAGTTTGACCTCATTTCTGACCTAAGGTGACCTAAAACTTGATTTTTTTTGTGAAGGTGTTAAATTTATGCCCGGGAAGGTTTTAAAAATTTGGCAGCGTTGCGGCGCCGCCGCTTTTGCTATTCAGGAAAAACTACGGGGGGGACCAAATCCCCCCCCCCCCCCCAGCGGGGCGAGGTTTAATTACGAGCGAGCGAGCGCAGCGAGCGAAGCGAGTATTTTCAATATAAGGGAAAAATCTCAGTATGAGCGGCCCGGCCCGGCCCGGCCCGGCCTGTAACGCTTTTGAGAGGCTTATATCTCCGCAACCGCTGGACCGATTGGCATGCGGTCTTTTTTGCTGGGTAGCCCCATCCCTTCTATCCCGTAATTGACTACTTTTGATACGCCTCAGTGACCGTCGTGGCACGTGCCACGTGAAAAGTCAAGGGTGTTCAAGCTGTCCTGCAAAAGTAGTGATTTTGAGAGGCTCATATCTCAGCAGCCGCTTGGGCGATTGACTTGCGGTGATTTTTGTAGGGTAGCAGCATCCCTTCTTCCAAAAATAGGACACTCTCGATGCATGTGGGTCACCCCCAGCGCACGTGCAAAATACATCAATAAGAGGTGTCAAATTTGTTCCCATTTTAATAACTCGGTAATTACTGGGGCGATTTCGCTGAAACTTGGCATACAAGTAGGCACCCACCAGGCAATGCATTCCCATGGTTGCGGTTAGGGTGCTACTGCACGTGCGCACGTGCAGGGGGCGCTTCCAGATCTCGAGAACGGCTGGGCCGATTGCGCTCAAATTTGGTACACGGTTGGGGACCAGTTAGTAGGGTGCCGTGCAAAAGTCAGTTTGGACCCCGTTTGCACGTGCGCACGTGCAGAATGCCGCTTCCAGATCTCAGGAACGGCTGGGCCGATTGCGTTCAAATTTGGTACACCGCTAGCGACCGGTTAGAAGGGTGCTTTGCGCAAGCCCGCTGGAAGCACCCTCTCGCCCTTCCGCACGTGCAGGGCTCACTATCTCGCTCGCTCGTTCTTCGCCCAAAAGGCGTTTTACTGGTAGTTAATTTATAGCGTTAACAGCTGCAACATTTTTATTTTTAATAATTCTCAACGGTTCATATCAACATTCTTTTAATCAGGATTGTTTTAAAAACACATTGTATTGCTGTGCATTAAATTCATCAAGCTGCACCGGTCCCCAACTGACTGCGATCCGTCGGCTCAGCTCCCCAGGGTCGATCCCAGGGAGCCCACCGAGGGGGGCAACATGACCATCACCTGTGTGGCCACGGGTCGCCGACACCGACGGTCACCCTGGTCCTCAATAATCGCGTGCGGAACCAGGTGAGCCACTTCTGAGTCAGGCGGGGGCTGCTGCAAGCTACGGATAGTTTTTTTTTTACGATACTTCGTCAATGTAAATGCCCTGGTGCCTGATGACTGAACTTTCCTGTTGCGTTTTAACTAAACAATGCATCGAGTTTTGCTAAATGTTAAGGTCTTTATCTTTATAGTAAGGTCTTTTAAGGTCTTTTATGTTATTATCTTTCCTCAATAATCAATAACCTAATCAATTCAGTAACTAGGGTGATTCATAGCCGTGTGACCGAAAATAAATGAAAACTACAGGAAATGCATTCGTGTTACATGCCATTGCCAAGTACCATATCAAACAGCCAAAACTGAAGTTTTGATCCATGTATAGCATCAGCCACAAATACTTTTCCTTCGACGCTCACACTCTTTTAGACAAAATGTTCAAAATGGCCACCTCGGCGACGGATGCACTCCAGCGCCAGAGCCTAAAGTTGGCGCTGGCGCGGACGCCACAACATTTCTAAGGAAATAGAACCAAAGCAGCTTCCAATGGCATCCTTCAGCCCCAGAATATCCTGGGGACTCTCATCATAGACCTCGGACTTTGCATAGCCCCAGAGGAAGAATTCCACGACGTTGAACTCCGGCGAGTGTGGCGCCCACCTGACCTCAGCGCTCTTTGAAATCAACTTTCCGGGGTTCGCTTACCATTTTTTTTTTTTTTTTTTTTTTTTTTTTTTGGTGCCGTGTTTATCACTGAACAGTGCCCTCTGCTTTGAATTGATTAACGATTCTACGAATTGTTATCTTCTTTGGAGTTTCCCTTGGGTGAAAGCCTTCAGACGTGCAGAAACATCTTTGTGTTTGCTTGACGGACTGCGTTAACCTATACAAATTACACATTTTTACTTTTTGCTGTGTTGTGTACATCTTGAGCGATACACACAAACCAGACCAAGATAGAACAAAACTTCATAAAATTTTCTACTAGCACGTGAAATTTCACGCGGAAATATGCAATCCTCTTCTCAAGAGAGATCAACTAAATAGGTCACATGGCTATGAATCACCCTGTATTTTACCCGCAATAATGACATAATTTGAAGAGAAATGTGTATACGATGTGTTGTTCAAGTGCGTTATTTCTATGTCTGTGCGTGGAAGGTACAATGACGTCTCGTCTTTTCTCCTCAACCCGACAGAGTCGTACCCATGAGTTGGTGACGACAATCACCAATGTCACCAGGAACATTGAGCTGGCTCAGTGCAGTCTCCAGGTGGAGCAGAGCCACCTGTTCTCATCGCGCCACATCCTGAAACGACGTCAGTTGGGCGGTGACGTCACAGCGCGTGACTCAGGTGTCAGGCATTGACACCATACCGCAATACGGCAGGGATTTAGGCGTGAAATGGACAAATAATGTGGCATATAATAAAAATATAGTTTAAAAAAAATATTTCGTACGCAGACAAGTTAACGCTCTCATAAGATTTATATCAGATTGAGTCAATGAGTCAATAGCTGATTGAGTCGATGCACATGGCATATCGCTCTCGATTCATTATATTGTATCGCAAATCACCGTACTTGGCTTATTCGGCTGACACTAGCTCCAATTCTTTGAAATACCTACCTGAACTGACTCACAACTGTCCCCTGTTATACCAGATGCTCCCCGGGTCTGGCTCTGGGCCTGGGAAGGCGGCGAGGAGGAATCAATGCCGGGCAGAAATGTGACATTGTCCTGTGACGTTGACGCCCACCCGAAACCCAACATGACCTGGCGAGGAGACCACTCGGAGATACTCCGTGCAGGAGGCAACCTGAACTTCACCTCGATAAAACAACGGGTAAGGAGAGGCGGGTCATTTGGAGTAGATCTGTTTTTAATGGGGGCAAATACACCGCTGTCCTTTAAAAAATAAGGTTTGAAAAACAAAAGAACTATGAAACGGCATTTTGGTTCAAACCTTTGGAGAAACCGAGAAACCGAAAAACCTTTGGAAGCCTCTGAAATCTAACAACACCATAATTTTCCAACATGATTTAAATAGCGTTTCGCTGATGCCTCTTTCATTCAATGACAGCTTGTCGATCATTCTGACTCGCCCCCCCCCCTCTC